AGAAACACAGTGGTATTCTATGTTCCCAGAGGAAAGTAGAAAAAAAGTTTGAAACACAGTATACACTGTAATGTTAAATGTACCTGGCCTCACCTTTACTTGAGGGTTTTGAGCCTGTGAACTGAATGGCAAGCTGCCATTCACCACACCTAGAGTTTTTGTTGTTGGTGGTTGGGGTGATACAGATCATGGTCTACGACAGGTGGCCTATTAACAGGACACTGTGATCAGTTTGCCACGATGAAAGATCCATGGGGAGAGACCATTCTGGTTTCAGCTAGCAGTCTGCTGCTTATCATAATGCCACTACTTGGCCTCTGCTGCTCCAGGACCCCTTAAAATTCCCACTGCGAGTGCAAATCTGTTTCCATGACAACATTTCCTGCCTCCTTTCCCAGACTAGTTTTTCAGAACTTTGACCAAAGTATGCCTAAGAGTTTTTGGTAAAAGGAATGTCCTTTGAGCCCTCTCTGGGTATGTAGTTAAGGAGTGTGCCAGGGGAATGCACATGACAACTCCATTCCAACATTCCCACCTCCCCAAGGGTTGGGATTGGAGATAATGAGGGATGGGTGGGGAGTAGGGCACAAGGACAAACGACATCTCTTTGCTCAGCAACTGACCAGAATTCACTACAAGATCTCCAAGAAAGGCAGAATCAGTTTCATCAGAAGGGGAGGAGGAGCTGCTTTGGCTGGTAAGGGAAGGTCCATGAAGTGTTGGGGTTCAAAAGACAGATGCATTCAATAAATATTTACTGAATATTTTCTAGGAGCAGGGCATATAGCAGTGAACAAAATAGACAAAAATTTCCTGGCTTCATAAGGCTAATACTAAGTAAACAAGGTACACTCAAGGAAGAGGGAAGAATGTGCCTGGAGTAGTCCTGAATAGCCAAGAGACAGTGTGGCTTTTACTCTTAGTGAGATGGTATATTAGATCCCTGGGGTTACCATAACAAGTAACCCCAAACTTGGTGGCTTTAAATAACAGAAATTTACTCTCTCACATTTATAGAAGCTGGAAGACTGAAATCACTCCAATCTCTGCCTCTATCTTCACATGGTCTTCTCTTCTGTCTGTGTTTCTTTTCCCTTCTCTTTTAGGATATTTGTTGTTGGATTTGGGGCCCACTTGGGCAATCCAGGATGATTTCATTTTGAGATAATTATATCTACAAAGACCCTTTCTCCAAATAAGGTCACAATCACAGGGTCCAGGAGTTAGCACATATCTTTCGGGGGGCCGCTCTTCACCCCTTTACAGAAGGGAAGCCATTAAAAAAGGGCTTTGAGCAGAGGAGGGACACGGCCTTACTTATAGTTGAATGGCTCTTTCCAGCTGCTGTGTTGAGAAGACACTATTTGGGAAAAGTAGGGAAGGCCACTTCCTTTCAGTGGCCTTCAGTGAAGGGAGGCCACTGAAAAAAACTAGGAGAGCCATAATGATGGCAATGACAGCAGTGAGGGTGGTAAAATAATATCAGGTTCTGCACCTCCTTTGAAAGCAAAGCTGCTAGGCTTTGCTAACAGATCAGATGAGTATTAGACAAAGATGAAGCCCATAGGAGAACCATAAACGAATATCTCAGACTTATTCAGCCAAACGTGTACTGATGAAATAATATAACATGAGGGGGGAAATAATGAACTACTCATGAATTGGTTGATACTGGGAGCTTTGGTTAGCTATAAAAAGTCAACTTAGGGGAGGGAGGGGGGAGACCAGGCGGGGGGGGGGGGGGGGAAGAGAAAAAAAATGTACTTGAAAAGTAACTAAATAAAATTAAAAAAAAAGTCAACTTAGGTCATTATTACCTTGGCATACACCAAAATAAGTTCTTGATAATTAAAAGTTATGTGAGGAAAAACCAATGTTTTTTTTAAGCCACAGTAAATATAAAACTGAACATTTTCTATTCTTTGGTTGGCAGAGGAGGTTGGAAAGAAAATCAGTAACTGCTCTCTTTTGTCAGCAGCAATTAGGAAAGATAATGGCAAAAGATTCCACATACAATTGCAATAAACCTGCGACTATTGCACTTGACATGGACCTGTCTGTGGAGTTCAAATAGGTGTTCTAAGTGTAAAACACATGCCTGAAAGACTTGATGCAAAAATTAATGTAAATTGTCCCATTTATAATATGGTGTATTGCTTACATATTGAGATATTCTGAATAGTTAGGTTAAGTACAATTAATTATTAAAAAATCATTTTATCTTTTTACATTTTTCCTCTATGTGGCTGCTAGAAAATTTCAAAGTCCACAAGTGGCTCCCACTCGGTCCAGCGACTCTAGATGGATAGGAACTGCAAGCTGCAAAGGGCTTTCAATCTCTCTGTGCCTTAACGTCTTCATTTTTCATTCGGGACTGATCCGATACCAACCTTAAACGATCGGCGAGAAGAAGCAATAAATTACAGTTGTAATGGCCATTAGTAGTGGAAACATAGGGATAGCCGTTAGGCATCTGCAGTTCCTGAGACTGGGTAATAAATAATCCTCCGGGAACAGTTGGGTTCAAAAAAAAAAAAAGAAAAATTCTAGCCAAATAAGGTAACTAACCAGGGCCCACCAGCAGCAATACCCACCAATTAGAGAGACCCTCGCCGTTTTCAATTTAGCAACCTAGCTAATAGCTAACCGCCACATCTGCTTCTGTAAGCCCGCATTCGCTTGCTCTGCCCTATAAAAACCCCATAGTTTGTAAGCCACGTGCGGCTTCCATGTTGTAGCCCTGAGAAGCTACCTGACTCCCGTCAGGGGGAAGGAAGCCGCCCTGCGCAGGTAAAAAGAAACTTTTGGCCAATAAATACCATCATAAGCTCTAAGTTTCTGGATGTCTGATTTCTCGCCCATCGAATGCAACATTTGGAGGCCCCAGCGAGATCCACTTCCCAGGAGGGAAGTTTCGTCCAGAAACTGAGAGAGCAGCCGGGCCCGGTAAGTTCTGGGAGGATCCTCATTCGGTTTCGGTGGTCTAGACCTTTTAGCCCCGAGGGGGTAGGTAGGACGCTACCGGCAGACCCCCGGGGGTTTCCCAAGGAGAGGACGCTCTCGGGAAACGGAGCTTGGCTCCCGCGACTTGGTCGCACCTGGTTTTCGCGCTGCGCTGCGCTGCGCTGCGAGATGTATGCTTGAGAGCCGCGGTTCGCCTGTGTGTGTGATAAGAGAGTGCTTGGGTTTTTGTTTTGTTTTTTTTTTTTTGTGTGTGTGTGTGTGTGTTTTCTGTTAGTCATAGTTGTCAGTGTTCTCGCCTCTGAGATCCCCGAGGTCGTCCAGCGCATCAGGATGGGCCAGAGTGGATCCGTACATGGGTCGCCCCTCGATTGTCTATTAAATAATTTTTCTGATTTTCAGAGGCGAGCGCAGGGTTACGGCGGACCAGCACCTGATCCTGAAATCCTCCGGACCCTCAGTGAACTGGAGTGGCCGGCTTTCGGTGTTGGGTGGCCCTCCGAAGGAACCTTTGATTTGCCCCTTCTGTTCGCTGTCAGAGGGGTAGTGTACCGGGTGCCCCACCCCGATCAAATAATATATATAAATGTCTGGGTGGACATTGCAGCGGACCGCCCGAGATATATACGGCGGTGCCAGAGTAAAGGGCGCAGGGAAAGGCAGGCAGTGTGTCTGGCGGCACCCCGAGGCGGAGGCAACAGGCCCAGAGGGGCCCCGGGACGCTCGCCGCAGCAGACGCCACCGGAAAAAGGGGGGCCAAGGCTTTACCCCGTCTTGCAAGGGGACTCTGAGGAGTTCTTAGATTCCCCTTCGGCACCCCCTCCCTACTTTCAGCCTCAGCCTGACACCACCAGGGGCGAGGGAGCGCAGCCTCAGCCTGACACCACCAGGGGCGAGGGAGGGCAGCCTCAACCCGACACCACCAGGGGGCGAGGGAGGGCAGCCTCCTGACACCACCAGGGGCGAGGGAGGGCAGCCTCAACCCGACACCACCCAGAGGGAAGGAGTGCAAAGTCCTCCACACACAAGGGGAGGAAGTCGGTACGGGGCGAGGGAGGCACCGCCCCAGAGCGGCGCCGCCCTCTTACCCCTTAGGGAAGTACCGCCAGCGCCAGATGCACCCCCGCGGGCACCACCCCGGCTAATTTATGTCCCCTTTTCAACCAGTGATTTATACAATTGGAAACATCAAAACCCTCCGTTTTCAGAAAAGCCGCAGGGGCTGATTTCCTTGCTAGAAACTATTTTCAGGACTCATCAGCCCACCTGGGATGATTGTCAGCAGATTTTGCAGACCCTCTTTACCTCGGAAGAACGGGATAGGATAATGAGGGAGGCTGCGAAGGCAGTGATGGGGGAGGAGGGAGAGACAGCATATGGGAGGCGGGAAGTGCAAGACATTTTACCCGGGGATCCCCCTGATTGGGACCCAAATTCGAGTGGGGGAAGGGAGGCGCTACTCCAGTACCGCCGGGCTCTGCTTAGAGGGCTAAAGGCAGCAGCTAAGAAACCAACAAATTTTAGCAAGATTAGTGAGATAATACAAGGAAGGGAAGAGTCTCCCGCGGCATTTTTGGAGAGACTTACAGAAGCCTACAGAGTCTATACCCCACTCGACCCAAGAGCTCCAGAGAATTGGAGGCTGCTAAATATTGCCTTCGTAACCCAGGCTGCCCCAGATATTAGAAAGAAGTTACAAAAAAATAGAAGGGTTTGAAGGAGAAAATATCAGTAGATTAGTAGAGATCGCCCAGAAAGTGTATGTGAACAGGGACGACCCAGAAATAGGGAGGGCAAAGGAGGTTGCAAAAATCCTGATTGCAGCCCAAAAACCCCCTCCCAAGAATCAGAAAAGGGAAAGGAGACACAGGAATCAGAGGCAGTCATTAGACAAAGACCAGTGTGCATTCTGCAAGGAGAAAGGCCATTGGAAACGAGAATGCCCCAAGAAGATGGAGCAGGGGGCGGGACCTGCTGTGCTGCTCCAAACCTTGGACTGACGGGGCCGGGGCTCCATCCCTGTAGGCTCCCAAGAGCCCATGGTCACTTTAGATGTTGAGGGGAAACCAATAAACTTCCTCGTCGACACGGGAGCCACCTTTTCTGTCCTAAAGCAGCCACAAGGAAAAGTGCAGAAAGCAAAAACTAAGGTAGTGGGGGCAACAGGAAAAGAGGAAACATATCCGTGGACCACGGCCCGGATAACGAATTTGGGTTCAGGCACTATTACTCACTCCTTCCTAATCATCCCAGATTGCCCTTACCCCTTACTTGGGAGAGATTTACTGCAAAAACTTCAGGCCACTATTACCTTCCGAGGGAGCGGCCAGCCGGGTGGAGAAGGCCCAGCGGAAGCTAAGCCTGGGGTCCAGCTAGAGGTAACCGTGCCAATCTCAGAGGAGTACTTGCTCGCAGCCCTCCTCGAAGGTAAGGAGGGGGATGATGTCCCGCAAGACCTGCTTTCTGAGATACCTGGGGTCTGGGCAGAGACCAACCCGCCAGGGCTGGCAGCGCACCAGCCCCCAGTAATCGTCCAGCTGAAGAGCACAGCCAGCCCGGTCAGAGTGCGACAGTATCCCGTCCCAGCTCGGGCTAGGCAGGGCATAGCCCGGCACCTCAAGCGCCTCCTGGAGGCAGGCATCTTGAGGGAATGCCAATCAGCCTGGAACACGCCCTTACTACCAGTCCAGAAACCTGGGACCCAAGATTATCGGCCCGTGCAGGACTTAAGGGAAGTGAATGCCCGAGTAGAAACTATTCACCCCACTGTGCCTAACCCGTACACCCTGTTGAGCTCACTGCCTCCGACCCATGTCTACTACTCAGTACTAGACTTAAAAGACGCTTTCTTTTGTATTCCACTGGCGCCAAAAAGCCAGGAGATTTTCGCATTTGAGTGGGATGATCCAGAAAATGGACTAATTGGGCAATACACCTGGACCCGCCTGCCGCAGGGTTATAAGAACTCTCCCACTATATTTAGTGAAGCATTGGGCAAGGACTTGCAACCCTTCCGCACCTCTCACCCCTCCGTAGTGCTCTTGCAGTATGTAGATGACCTGCTCATCGCGGCCACGAGTCCGAAGGAATGTGAAACTGCGACAAAAGACCTTCTGCGAGAGCTAGAGGAGAAGGGGGTACCGAGTGTCTGCTAAGAAGGCCCAGATTGCCAGACAGACCGTGAGTTATCTGGGCTATAATCTGCAGGGCGGACAAAGGATGCTATCCAGCCAACGGATTCAGGCCGTGATGCAGATTCCTGAGCCCACCAACAAGAGGCAAGTACGGGAATTTCTGGGGGCCGTGGGATATTGCAGGCTCTGGATACTGGGCTTTGCGGAGTTAGCCCGGCCTCTCCATGAGTTAACCAGAGGAAAGGAGGACTTTTTCACATGGACACAGAAAGAGAGGCAGGCCTTCCAAGCATTAAAGGAGGCCCTGACCACCGCCCCTGCACTGGCCCTGCCTGACCTGACTAAACCCTTTCAGCTCTTTGTAGCTGAGAAGGGGGGAGTAGCCCTCGGGGTACTAAGTCAAGAGTTAGGGCCGTGGAGGAGACCTGTGGCCTATCTATCCAAGAAATTAGACCCCCGTGGCCTCGGGTTGGCCGGGCCTGCCTACGGGCATTAGCCGCAACTTCCGTGCTGGTGAAAGAAGCCAGTAAACTGACTCTAGGTCAAGATATTCAGATAATTGGAGAACACTATTTAGAGCAGATATTGAGAGCCCCGCCTGACAGGTGGCTGTCAAATGCACGGCTTACCCAGTTTCAGGCTCAGCTGTTGAATCCTCCGGCCGTAACGTTTTTGAAAACAACGGCGTTGAACCCAGCCACCTTACTGCCAGCCCCAGATCCCACCATTATTCATGATTGCTCCCATGTGCTGGATGCAGTTCCTGGGTCTCGGCCAGACATGAGGGACCAGGCATATGAGAAGCCAGATCTCACCCTCTACACAGATGGGAGCAGCTATATTCAAGATGGACAACGCCTTGCTGGGGTGGCAGTGGCCACTGAGACTGAGGTATTGTGGAAGCAGGCATTGCCTGCTGGAACTTCGGCGCAGAAGGCTGAGTTAATCGGACTGACTCAGGCCCTGAGGATGGCTGAAGGTAAGGTTGTAAACATTTACACTGACAGCCGATATGCCTTTGCCACGGCCCACATACATGGTGCAATATATAAAGAAAGGGGCCTCCTGACTGCAGGAGGCAAGGACATTAAAAACAAAGAAGAAATTTTAGCCCTTCTCGATGCCATTTGGCTCCCTGCTAAGGTAGCCATAATCCACTGCAGAGGGCATCAGCGGGGCGAGACGCCAATCATTAGAGGAAATAACCTTGCAGACGCAGCTGCGAGAGAAGCAGCCGCGCAAAAAAGGACTGTGCTGCCACTGCTTCCTCTTCCAAACCTTCCACCGTCCCCTCACTACACTGCTGAGGAAGAACAACTCGGAGAAAAGTTAGGAGGAAACAAAAACCAAGCTGGGTGGATAGTTTTGCCAGATTCAAGGATATTTTTACCCCAGGGAGTACTAGGGAAGGTGATACAAGACATTCACACCAGTGCCCACTTAGGTCAAAACAAGCTAGACACGCTAGTTAGGAAATATTACCTAGGGCTAGGATTCAGGGATGCAGTTCGTTCAGTAACCGCTAGGTGTCAGGTTTGTGCTAAGGTTAACGCCCAAAATAAGAGATTGCCTCCATTTATTAGATATAGAGGAAAATTTCCTGGAGAACTATGGGAAATAGATTTCACTGAAATGGCAAAAGGCACGTCTAGATACAGATACCTTTTAGTACTAGTAGACACTTACTCTGGGTGGGTAGAAGCCTTTCCCACCAGAGGTGAGACTGCGTCCACAGTCTGCAAGTTATTAATAAGAGAAATTATCCCTAGGTATGGAATACCCCTAGCCATAGGATCAGACAATGGGCCCGCTTTTGTATCCAAGGTTTCACAAGAACTTGCCACAAGGCTAAGAATTAACTGGAAACTACATTGTATATACAGGCCCCAGAGTTCGGGTCAGGTAGAAAGAATGAACAGAACCTTAAAGGAAACTTTAATGAAATTAAGGGAAGAGACCGGCGGAAACTGGGTTGAGCTACTCCCTTTCGCCCTCTTCAGGGTAAGGTGTACACCTTATGTCAAGACTTGGGCACCATATGAAATTATGTTTGGACAGCCTATTCCTCTAGTTCCCAAACTCACTGCTGAGGAATTAGAACTAACTAACTCTAACTTCCTCAAGTCCTTGCAGGCTTTGCAGAACATCCGCCGTGAGGTGAGAGCTCTCCAGCAGGAGAGATATCCTAAAGAGCAAGGAGCAGAAGCTCCGGAGCCTGGACAGTGGGTGTGGATCCTAAATCATCGAAGGGGGAGTCTCGAGCCCCGCTGGATTGGGCCGTACCAGGTACTGTTGAGCACACCTTCAGCCGTGCGAGTGGCAGAAAAACCCTACTGGATACATCTTGCCCACATCAAGCCGGCCCCAACACCTGACGAGAGTGAAAAATGGAGTGTACAGCCAGTTTCAGGGGAACCCTTACGAGTAAAATTCTTCAAATCCTGACAATCCTAGTAGTCCTAGGCCCCCCTACTGGGAAGGGGGTTTAGGATCCAAGAATGGGTGCTGATCAGGACTGCTGATGGTACTGTGATTGCCACCAACTATACGTGGGGAGGTGCTCCGGTTTCCCTAAAGACTGATTTCTCTAAGTTTTTTGATGATCGGTTCTGTGACTCCCAGGCGGCCATACCTGTTATGAACACCCTCGTCCCCCGCCCAAGGCAAGTCCCATTCTCCCCTTGCGAAAACTCAGCCAAAAATTACGGCCTGTGGTTTATTAATTCATACGGGTGCCCCGAGACCACTAGAAAAACACAACTCAGGTGTGGAGGGTTTAGAGAATTCTATTGTAAAGCATGGGGTTGTGAAACCCTCGCAATGGGCTGGACGCCAGGGGGAGGGAACAGATAAGCACATAACCCTCCTCAGGGAAAGAAGGCCACCCAAACCTGAGGACTGCCGAAAGGACAACTGTAACCCTACCACCATAACTGTCCTAAACCCCGACGCCCCCCGACTGGACAAAAGGCCGTACCTGGGGAATAAGACTTTATATAGAAGGAGAAACTGACCCAGGAACCTTCATTACAATTAAAAGGCTACCTTTCGGGAACAGGCCACTACTGAGGGGTCTAGGTGAGGGGCTGCCACCCCGACCTCCTGGACCAGCCAAACCGCCCAGCAGGGTACTTCCCTCAGGGAATCCGTCCCTGACACCTACCCCAAAGGAAGGGGAGAGAACTAGCTCAGCCCCCTTACTGACAAGGGGGGCACCGTGGCCCCCAAAGGATGCGCATAGACCACAGGAAGGGACGTCTACCTATGAATTACTTGATAAAGTCTTCCCCTTCCTAAATGAGACCCAGCCAGAAATCACTGAATCTTGCTGGCTGTGCTTGAGCCCCAGGTCTCCCTTTTATGTAGGGATAGGGATAAACACCTCAGGGATAACATTAGGCACAGTCCCAATCTCAGCTATAGAGAGCTGTGAAGAAGATGGAACATTAACCTTAGATGAGTTCCATGGAAATGGGACCTGCTACATACTAGGAAACTATAATCTCACCTCTTCTAACTATAGCAGTTATTGTTTAAATCAAGTCCACATCACTATCAGCCGGAGTAGTGATCCCCAGTTTCCCAGGGCTCCTGAAGGGGTGTGGTTCATTTGTACCCAAGGAATATTCAAATGCCTGATTCCTACCGGTCCTACCCTGTGTGTTAGTGCATATATTATCCCGCAAGTGTACCTCTATAGAGGGGATCCCACCTTCTTGCTAGAACCACCAAGGCGAGTTAAGAGGAACCCGCTTCTGATCCCCATAATAGCTACCATAGGAATTATAGGCTCGACAGCAGTAGGAGCAGGAGCTTATGTGCATAATGACAATAGCTTGAAGGTGCTTTCCCAGACCTTCTCTAAAGACATTTCCCTGCTACAAGATCAGGTAGTCTACCTAGAAAGGCAAGTCGACTCCCTAGCAGAAGTAGCCCTACAAAATAGAAGAGGGTTAGACCTATTATTTTTCAAACAGGGAGGATTATGTGCAGCCTTAGGAGAAGAATGCTGTTTTTATGCTAATCATTCTGGAGTAATTAAAGAGAGTATTAAAACCCTAACTAAAAGACTTAGAGAAAGAGAAAGTGAACCTGATAGTCCTAACTGGTTTGCCTCTTTATTTAAGACCTCGCCCTGGCTGACCACCCTAATATCAGCGTTAGCAGGACCCTTGATTCTGCTGTTGTTAGCCCTAACTTTAGGGCCTATCATCCTCAAAAAGTTGCTTGCCTTTATAAAAGATAGGGTTAACACAATCAAATTAATGGTCCTGGCTCAACCCTATACTATCCTGCCCCAAGAAGAACAACAGTCAAGGGTTTGACTAGTAACTAGAAAAGGGGGGAATGTAATGGCCATTAGTAGTGGAAACATAGGGATAGCCGTTAGGCATCTGCAGTTCCTGAGACTGGGTAATAAATAATCCTCCGGGAACAGTTGGGTTCAAAAAAAAAAAAAAGAAAAATTCTAGCCAAATAAGGTAACTAACCAGGGCCCACCAGCAGCAATACCCACCAATTAGAGAGACCCTCGCCGTTTTCAATTTAGCAACCTAGCTAATAGCTAACCGCCACATCTGCTTCTGTAAGCCCGCATTCGCTTGCTCTGCCCTATAAAAACCCCATAGTTTGTAAGCCACGTGCGGCTTCCATGTTGTAGCCCTGAGAAGCTACCTGACTCCCCAGGGGGGGAAGGAAGCCGCCCCTGCGCAGGTAAAAAGAAACTTTTGGCCAATAAATACCATCATAAGCTCTAAGTTTCTGGATGTCTGATTTCTCGCCCATCGAATGCAACAACAGTCAACAGAGTACTCAGCCAGGTACTCAGGTGCTCAAACTCGGGTTAAACCCAGCGAAGGTAAATGAACAGCGGCCCAAGCCACGCCCACAAGCTACTGTACTCCCCGGCTGGCTGCACCGCTTTCACAGCCTGAGTTCCTGTGGGTGGGGCGAGATTAAAAACGCACGCGCAGGCGCAGGCGCAATACCACTGAAACCAGCCAATGAGATTGCTCAGTTGCCCCGCGCGCGCGTCTCAGGCTCAGCCCCTTCATACTGACTCCTCCCCGTGGCGCGACACGCTCGGGGACGCGCACAAGTGGGCGGGGTCTAGTGGCACGGCCTGAGAGCGGTGGAGTGTTAATCTCTCTTTTGGCTGTTGCCCACGAGGCTCGCACGCTCTGCGGGGAAATATGGCGGATGTCGAAGGTAAGGGTTGCTCTTTCACGATTTGTTTGGCCGAGTTTCCCCTACTGGGGTCAACTCCACTGCCTCGGAGATAAGGGATCAGGGGACAGCGTCGGAGCCAGAGCTCCCCGTTAGCTTAAGCCACCGGGCTGGGTCGCTGGCTGCCAGGCCTCCTGCCAACCTCACCTCTTGGCTTGGGCTCGATGAGTGAGGGCAAAATCGCGGGAGGCCCTCGAGATGAGGTGATGCCACAAAGGCCTGGGTCTACCACTGCCCGCACAGCCTTTTTAAGGACTTGAAAGGCGGCGGCCACGCCATTGATTCTGCGGTGCAGGAGACCTAGCGGCACCTGTGCTGCCTGCAACGTAGACGCCACAGTCAGCGCTAGGGAGTGAGGGGAGGAAAGAATGATTGGAGAAGAAAAGAGGGTTGAGGGGCTCGGGCTGGGGCCCGGACGTACCTTCGACATGCAAGGAAGTTCTAGAGGTCACAAACACGCGGGGACAGTCAGGTGGTCACTTAATGGAACTTTCCGGCGTGTGGGTTCAACGCTTAAGCAGCGTGTGAAGCCCCGCCACGTGGTGAACCTAAAGGAAGCCGACACGTGCGACTGTTTCTAGTTCTTTATGGGTTTATGCACCCCACATACATATTTGGCATCACACATCGTTTTCCTCAGTAATTGTAGACCCAACATCCATTTTCCACCTATCCTGGTTTCTTTCTCTATTTTAAACTTGGTTGCATTTATTTTCGGAAAGAACTCCCAAATCTTGTGTTTGTTTTTCTAGTATTTACTGTGCCAAAGAAGCATAAAAAGAAAAAAGAGCACAAGACATTACCAGAAGAAGATGTTGCAGTGAGTAGGAATATGTTTTCCTTTGTTTTGACTAAAAATAAAGATCACTTAGATAACGAGTTAGAGAAAACTACTTTTAAAGGCTTTGAAGTAATGGGCTAGAATTGGACAGTCATTGTACACAGCCCTGGCCAATCTAAATATCTTCTATCACATGTAGTTTCCTAAGTGGTGTTGGCCACACCAGCTGCTTTCCCTGAAATTTTCTTTTTTTTTTTTTAAAGATTTTTTATTTATCTTTGGAGGGCAAGGAGAGAAATACCAATGTATAGTTGCCTCTCCTGAGTCCCCTGCTGGGAACTGGCCTGCAACCCAGTGATGTGTCTTGACTGGGAATTGAACCACGATCCTTTGGTTCGCAGGCCCGCACTCAATCCACTGACCTACACCAGCCAGGGCTGAAATTTTCTTTTTTTATTCCACCTGCAGACCCACTGTCCTCTGTCTCTTTAAATAGCTGTACCCTTCTTGGGGGGCACTTCACTTACCCACCTGAGATTTTAGGTCATTTTTTGTTCTAGTGAAGAGGTATATACTAGGTTGTTTTCTATTGAAAGGGCATAAGGTTCTGAGTTAGTAATGGAATTGTTGGAAATCAGGTGGGAAGTCTAACGGGGTGTGTTTCTGTCCTGGGGAAGGAAATTCAACATGCTGGAGAATTTCTTATCAAACCTGAATCCAAAGTGGCTCAGTTGGACACATCTCAGTGGCCCCTGTTGCTAAAGGTATGTGGTTAAGATTGTGCATCAGGTCAGTGTCTGGTTTTTATTTTATTATTTAAAATTTTTTTTAAGATTTTATTTATTTAGCGAGAGGGGAAGGGAGGGAGAAAGAGAGGGAGAGAAACATCAATGTGTGGTTGCTTCTTGTGTGCCCCTCACTGGGGACCTGGCCTGCAACCCAGGCATGTGCTCTGACCGACCAGGAATTGAACTGGCAATCCTTTGGTTTGAAGCCTGCACTTGCAGCCTGCATTCAGTCCACTGACCTACACCAGCCAGGCCTGTGTCTGCCATTTAAATGGCATCTGCTTTTTTATTGTAGGCCCTGGGAATATAGTAGTGAACCTGGTGGGCAATGTCCCTACTCTCATGGTACTTAAAATCTAGAGAGTGGGACATAGGTAGTTAAAATAATTGGTATTTATGATAAATGCCATAATGAAATGAAACTGGGTGATGTGAAAGATGGGCTTTAATTGAGGGGAGCCCTTTCAGATCAGTGATTGAGCCTGAGAAAGGAGAGTAAAAAGGAGCAGACATCAGAGAGCAGACATGAGAAAGCTCTAGGAGTATCTACAGCAAGAACAAACTAGTCATGTTTGAGAAATATTGCTGCCAGTCCTCGATTTGGCTATCTCTTGTCCCTGACAAAAATCAAAGCTAGTCCATGCTTTGTTCTA